ATGCTCTCCTTCCTAATTTTCTGCTCTGAGAATGAAGTTTTACACATCACTTGGATCAGACCGCGGGCTGAGATGTAGTCCGTGAGGTCTGAATCCTTACCCCACCAGGCTGAAATTGGCACAGACAGTCTGCAAACATCAATCAATTCACGCCTTCCATGCCATTGTTTTGGGCTTTTTGCACCTCTTTGACCAGAAATTACAGACCGCGGGCTGAAGTTAGGCTGACGGTCTGAATGGTTTTTGTAGTAAATCAGCCCGCGGGCTGGGAATCTACACCTGTAGTCTAAGTGCCTTTAGACCGAAGGTCCTGTAATTAAAACTTGCGGGCTAGTTGTTAGGCCTGACGGGCTGTTAGGAAAGACCACCGGTCTGCTTGTATTTATTATTAATGATATCTTAAGTTATGAACACTGCAGAACAATAATTTTCATATCACTGTGCTCATTACACCAAGAGCTACACACTGATGTGAAACTTGAATGTTGAAAATCAATTTTTACTTGAGTTTCCAAATGCCTTGTGACTTTCCAAAATTGATGCGACCAGTGTTATATCTTTAAACTACTCAGTACTATTTAATGTTCAAAGCATGTGACTGCATGATGGTTAATTAATTACACGGTTAGCTAATTACAAATTATTAGCAAATTACAAATTGGCATGATAATGATTTAAGCTAATGATTCAAGCTAGATATCAATAGAGAAGCTATCAGACTTTTGCTAGTGTCTACAATTGCAAGCTGCTGTGCACTAAGTGTTACCTAAATTGACTTAGAAAGCATTCAGATAGAACTGAAGCAATATTTGTTCTATTACTAGTATCAGTCACTATCTTCTAATAATAGCCAGGGTAACACCCCTCCAAGTGTCTGCATTAGACTAGTCCTAGCATTTGCAGGGCTCAAAATACTGGGTGCATGTGCACCTTAGTGCACCCAAATTTGGAGCTGTGCACCCAATTTTTTTCTGTGGGTGACCAGTGCACCCAACTATTTTCGTAGATTTACTTATGTAAAGATGTTAAATGTACTGTAGCATACTGCATATTCTTACACGTAACATCAAAATGTTAGAAAAATAATAAAATCATTGTTAGAGTACTTTTCTTTAGAAATGAAACATAATTAGTTTTTGCTGACATTCTACTTACATGTGTATGTGGTAGCCTGGGTACCATCCCCAGTAGTATATTCGCCAACTCTATAACTGGGTCTGGACTTGAACACATATGTAGCGTCTGGAGTCTAAATATTCGTTCAGATTTTGAACGAGCGCGCTGATTGGTCCTACTCGTCTAAGCCCTTTTTGGGGTATGTACATATTAGGTAAGGGGACGTTAGCGGCTTAACGGCGACGTTAACGGCTACGTGAAGATAGATCCTTGTTCTTATCTTATTTTCATCAACATGTCCGACGGCGAACTGAACGCTAAAGCGCACATGATATAGCCTGATGCTTAGGTCACATTTGAAACGGCGCCCGTTCGGCATGTCCTCGGCGTAGACGCCGGCCGGCGTCATGACACCGAGCGTGCGCCGTACTGTCAGGGTCACAATTAAATGTTCCTTTACGGCTCCCTGTCGGGGCCTGCTTGTGCTCCGACCGGCGGCTCTCATTAATATTCATAAACTTTTGCGGCCGGACACTGTCAGGGACCCGTCCGGTGCCCGGTCAGTCGCCCGTCTTGACCCGTGCGGCGTGTGGTAGGGTGCCGACCGGCTCTTACAGTTCGGCCGGGCAGCTGTCAGGTCCCTGGCGGGTTCCTGGCGGGATCCCGACGGGCTCCTCTCGTGATTTTGAGCAGGTACATATATAAGCGCTGCACTGCCTGCTACCGTTCACTTCAAGTAAAGAGTACACGTCAAGTAAAGAGTAGACTGAAGTTGGCGATGCAGCGTTCAGTGCAACCTGCAAACAACTTACAAGCCCGTCTGAGATTGAGATTGGTGACAACCTACATGTAGGTCTTCTGGCATTGGTAGCTGAAGAAGAGAGGCAGGCAGAACTGGTGCGTCGCAAAAGTAACCGAGGGCCTACTTTCGAAAGTACTTCAACAGTGACGCAGGAAGTACTTCAGCAGTGACGCAGGAAGTGTGCCGTGGCAGCTCCTTGCTATTGAGCAATAAAACCACTGAATATCGTTACTTCTGTTGAAATTTGGACTGAAAATAAATGCCAATAACTTCTGATTCCATTTTATTACGAAGGCATATGATGTAACAAGAGATAATGTCAGACACATTCTATTCCTGTTATGATCTGTTTTATGAGTTGGCAAGAGAGCCGTGCCGGCTGTTTTCCCTTGCCCTTCGACATCCTGACACACAAATACAAGGTGTAACACACACAAGTACACGATGTAACACACATGTGGTGAACTGTGCGACGTAGTCTGAGGCAGGAGTTTATATATGCGCCCTATAACCCCCTTTTCCTGACCATCTGATGCACTGATCAGCACATGTGACGTCATAATCTTAGGCAGGTGCCTGTTCGGCCGCCCGACGGGTCCCGGGCAGTGAGGTTACGGCGTCGCTTCGGCGTATTTCGCCGAACGGGGCCCGAAGTGTTTTTAACTCTGAGTTAAAATCGATTCGGCGACCGCTCGGGGCCAAAAATAGGCCGGCAGCCGTCGGGAAGCCCGTCGGTCTCCGTCCAGGTCCCGTTCGGTAGTGCCAAAAAACACGCCGAACACGCGCCGAGCGGGCCCCTTTCTTGAATTGTGACCTAAGCATGAGTCAGTCTTTCCGCGATAAATCATCAACATGGCTGACGCACAAGCCGCTCAGCTCTGGAGGTTGATGTTGACCTCGCAGTCACGTCCGTTTTGGACGATTTAGACGGAATATCGTCACTTCGGGCTAGCTCATTACGTGACGTCATCACCAATCGTTTTATATGTGTTCAAGTCCAGACCCAGTTATAGAGTTGGCGAATATACTACTGGGGATGGTACCCAGGCTATGTATGTGGTACACCCAAAAAAAATTTGTGTGCACCTAGTTTTTTTATGTTGGGTGCAAGTATTAATTCCCAAAAATGAATTTCGAGCCCTGATTTGAATACTGCGTAGTTCTGCATACTATTATAGGATACATAATACATGAAACATAAAACTTGAACACCCATGCAACTCTGAGCATACTTCACTGTCAGATCTTCTACATAACCCTTCTGCAATAAACTAGCAACAAATACAGCTTCAAGTCTCGGAGGCTGGTCAAAGTCCATCATCAAGGGCAAGAGGACAACATTGATAAATCATGCCACATCTAATAGTATATATATTAACCATTATGTGAATAAATTGTTTCCACAGATTAAGCTTTTCATCTTGGCTCAGAAGCTGCTGCTGCTGTTCTTGCTGGCCCTCATCCTCTACAGTGGATCAACCCTGACAATCATCCTCAGATACCATGGCCCAAACATCCTGATTGTTGACCTGTTAACTTACAGTAAACAGATCAACGGGTTCCCAGTATCTCTGTGAGCCTGTTGAGTTGGAGGACTGTACTGCTGGGTGTGTCTCATTGCTAATACAGGGTAGATGTCAGAGGTTCAGTGCCTATGATGTCCCCTGTGTTCATGAGACACAGCCATGTTGGGTTTGACAGCAGTACAGTCCTCCTTAGAACCTCAACCTGCTGCGGAACCTGACACTTAACTTCCTCTGTAACAACACTGGTGAGGAGACAGTGGACAGCCATCTTGCCATGGCCTGGCTATCTACTGCAGATATTACTGGTTATGTTGTAGAGGTTGAACAAAAATGGAAAAGACAAAAAAATGTGCACTTTGTAAATATGTAACTAAGTATGTATTATTAACTTAATTTATTATGTATTATTATATGTATTATCAAAATTATAAACTGATTAAAGTAGTAGTAAGTTCTGAAATGTATGTTCTGTTTTAAGAGGAAACTAGGTTTTTGTTCTTTCTTATTATGATTAAAAAAGAACATATAGAAGGAAAAGGCTCTTCAGAATGGCTAAGACATCAGTACAAAATTGTCATGTAAAACATAAAAGTTTGGAGCTCCTTTACAGTAGAAAGTTAAGAAATGGAAGAAGTTGTAAAAGTTGTGAAGCATTTATCATATGATTGTGCATTTTGTTCCCCTTGAGTGCAGTGTGTCTACATTACATTTACTGGATAGTTCAAACAGTTACAAAATGTAGATTTCTTGCAGTTGTATCAAACATAAAAAGGTTTATGTTGTGTGAAAGTGTGTTGGGTGCTCAGGCCAGGTACCAATTCTTTTAACTTTCAGACAAGTAGAACAGATAAGTTGTGATTTGTACAATATCAATGGTATTTTAAGCAAATGCCTTTGACAAAAAGGTTTAAAGGTACATGTCTAGCATTACAGATTGACTGACCATCAACTTAATATACATTTGTACAGTATCTTCATTCCACCTTCTAACAATAAACAGACTATGTACAGCTTTTAATAGCTCTCTTGTTGTCATGTAAGCGGAAGATGTCTGATGTGCCTGGAAATGTGACTTTTAATATTGACCTTCTCAATATAGCATTGGCATCTGCACTTCACTTGACACTAGACAGGGGGCTCACATGCATGGGTACTTCCCAGAGTCTTTATCCTCTCCGCTGCGATGTGCTGTGGTATCTGAGGATGCTTGTCAAGTTTTTGAGAATAACCAGTGCTAACAATAGGGATTTAGCAGGCAGCATATTTTAACATTATAAGCCACCTTTCCTGATGTGGGGACCACACATTCTAGTTTGAGACAAATTTGACAATCCAACAGAAAATTGTAGGTGTTGGGAAAAAGACTGTAGCAAGACCTTCTTGATGTCTATTCAGCACCATGGACAGTGTTGGACATCATTTGTTCTAGCCTGTATCAAATATCACTGTTGCGTACACAAAAATAGCAACCTAGGACTGGTATGTTTGGCAAAGAATGCAGAGCAAAGCAAGGTTCCTCAGACATAAATGACTGTTAGGTAAAGAGAAACCAACAAGGACGTCATGAATATGGAAACACTTTTCCAAAAGAATTTCATCAAGGCGCAATCCAACGAAAAACTAAAAACAATTGCAGGTTTATTATATAACTTATCATTATAATGTTTGCTTCAGATGACATTAGGGATGCTGGCTTCTATGGTGCTGTCCTTGGTACTGCTCAGCCATACCCAGACAGACTACATGTACATGTATGTATAGACTTCTAATCCAGGACTCTAGGACTGTAATCCAGAGGTCTATGACGTTGGAGGGCTGGCTAAATTTTAGGGTATTCTACACCACAGAGTAGACATCACAGTGTAACAGGCCAGAATGTACCCATGTATTCTGCCCAGGGGTACATTCTGGCCTGTTACAACTGGTTCAGTATCTACACATGTATGTAAGGTCCTCTGTGTTCATGTACTACAGCAGTACAGCCCTTTGTAGAAACAAACGGCTGTAGGCCCTGACACTGAACACTTCTGTCACAAAGCCAGTTAAGAGACAATGGATGGTAAGCCTGACACGGCCTGGCTATCTGCTATTAAAATACCGGTTGCGTAGCAGTGGTGGTCAAACATTGCAAAAGGCAAACAATTCATCAGCAATTGGCCTTTATCTGTCAGATATCCTTGATATACATGTACTATGAAGACTCATCAAGCTAATGGTGGTCGTCACAACAGAAAGAAGAAGAAGACTATTCTTGTTTCAAAACTTGAACAAATTTACCATTTGCACATTTTTGTTTTTCATTAATTTTAAAAATAACAGTAGCTATAATAACTATACTATCTGCAAAATATTCTCCCATCCTTCTTCCCCAATCAAGTTATAAATGGTAGGCGAGACCATCCTGAGGTAAACATCTTGCATTTGCTTGCAAATGTTACCTTTCTAGTTAAAATTTTGCATTTCATAATCATGAGTAATTTCAAATTGACTCTTGACCGTCTGATTAAGCATTATCATGATCATAATAGTATCTATTTTGTACACGGCTGCTCAACATAACTGACTTTCAATTCTTACCCCCATGAATGCAGTGTGTGTTTTTTTTTCCAACATATAATCACCAGACGTGGTGACGGCACACTCAAGTTTTTTCAACTTATATTAATGCCGCCACCAAAACGGGACAAATACATGACAGGACGATACTCATTTTCACCTGAGCGAAGTGAGCAAAGTCATGTAAAGTGCCTTTCCCAAGGGCACAAGATCGGTGGCATGTCGGGACTCGAACCCGGGACCTCTAGGTTCCGAGTCGCGCACGCTGCCGTTGCATTGACATCAAACTTATAAACTTTTACTGTTTTACGCCACACGACCCCACTAAAACAAACAGTGTATGTTTGGGTGAGAACTTAAACCTTGCAGTAATGTGTTGTCTCACCTGTATAGCTTCACACAGTACTACATTGTGCTGGTTGTTGGCATACACCTGTAAGATAGTTGACAGGATGTACTGGTATCTGTGGTCAAAAGAAAAGGAAACCTATAAGCATTCCAGAACACATTTAGAAGCCATATGCTAGTGTGCTAGATCCACAAAAATTGATAACAATTGTCATGAGGCATGTAAGTGCAATTATAGTACAGCCTGGTCTCGAGGTTGACAAGAAGTGATTGTCACCTGTTATGTCAATCCTTCCACAAATGTGGTAAATCGTCATAAAATAAAGATCATTATTTATGCAAATTAGCCTCAATTCATGATAGAGTAAAAAAAGCATTGACGGAATATATTAAAGTACTGGTATAAAAATCATTATAGAATTGAATAGAGGTCCTAAACTGGATATATTTGGGGCCATTATATGGGGCTTGCCCACCCTAGGGCTCCACATGTATTTCTGTTGCAACTTGAATAACGAAAAGAAAAAAGGAAGGTACAGACTTTCCAGGCACACACTTTAGACAGCATGCTTCAATCAGCATGCTTCATACCTCCTAGATGTATTGTAGAGCTGTGTACATACATGTATAATAAAACATCAGGACCTGGTACAGGTACAGCGGCTTAGGTAGAGGTGCATGTAACTGTATACCAGCCCTGAAAACCTCCAAAAATTAACAGAATATTATGCTCTTCTGAACTTCAATAATGACAGAACATTATTTTAAAACTCGACAGAATCTTTATAAAAAAAAAACAGTACCAATTTGGATTGTTTCTTTTTGCATACAATACTCTACCTCACAGCCCTAGAAAAATCAGATTTCTGTTGCACTCCCTCTAGATGTCACTACCCTAGTCAAAAGCTTGATCCGTGCTGCATGGATGCTTAAAGCTTACATGCCCCACCAGTGCCGCATAGATGCCCACTGCCACGCTAATTTCATGGTAATTATGGCTGTCTGAGTTTCCCTCCCTAGTCTGTCAACCAAGCAAGCCTTGAAGGAGGTGGTGCTGCATGCGTGCCATTTCCTGCCACGGTGATTATAAAGTGGTCACGCTTCACCTTTAGATTAACCCCTAATATCTGCTGGAGCAGAGATGTCCAGTCTTTTCAGTTGGACTGGAAATGATTTGAAGACGATGGACAGGAAATATGGTACAATTTACCATTGTTTAGGAAATTTCTTACCAGTTCAGTTGTTCTCAAGTTGCAGATTTCTGTGGCAGGATACAAAATCGAACAAAGGCTAGTGCCATAGTGTATCCATATTGTTACAATGTTTTTAGTTACCAGCAGGAACACTTTCTCCCAAGCTACTATACATTGTGTTTGTTTCATCTACATTGTACTCTACATGAGGGCAAGCCTGTACTACAATGGCTTGTTTAATTTAGTGGTCTCCACTACTGGGTCTACTCTCCAAGCAGAGGTAGGGTCGCTCGGTATTTTGGCAGTATTTTCGCGTTTTTAATACGTCTTTCTACTTTTACAGTTTTTCTCTGGTCTCTGGTTTTTCTTGACCCTACCTCTGCTTGGAGAGTATACTGGGTCTGCACTGTGACTTGTGTCCAGTAGCTGAAAACTGTTTGGGGCCATATGGAAGGATGGCCACTAACAAGGCATGATGGATTAGTTTGACAAGAAAGCCTCATGTTCATCTATGGATAAGATCTGTATAAGAGCAGTTACTTGATTCAGTACTGACTTTACCCTAACAACAGGCTCACCAACTTATAGCAGACTAACTCATATTTAGTAATCCTTGTTCTTCTAAGTTCTATCATCAGTGTTTCTAAACTTGTACACTTGTATGGGCATAGCCCTTGGACACACATTAGGGGACAAAAGGGATAGTCTGTATCAGGTGACCTGTGTGACCACATCAGGTGGTCTGGTGTGGCAGTCCACTAGTTAGTCAAATGGTCAACTCAGGGCAGGCCACTAGTTAGTCAACTCAGGGGTGGATACTTGCTCCTCCTAGTGTTTCAGGACTAGTATTTGTTACATGTTCCTGTGGATTAGCCTAACTGTAATGCAGAGGTGCATAGTCTTGGTCTCTGTTCCATTTAGGGACCGTACATTATTCACCGGGGGAAGGGCCGGTGCATAGGAAGTCAGGCAGAAAAGGTTTTCCCTAGCCCTCCCCCCCTAGTTTTTTTTCCCCTGGATTCTTGTGTAACATTTACAGGTACATGCATGTCACTTCAACGAAGGTGAATTGGATTGCATCTATTTTTAACCTTCCACATGTAATTATAGCAGAGCATTATATAGTATACCATACTAAAATAAAGAAGTTTCAATATTTACCTACATGTATAACCTCCTTGACCAAACCAAACCAAACCAAACAAAACTGTATTAACAAGGATTTGTATTTCCCTATACATGTATATATAAGTGGACCTTTCTCTATTTATCCACATTTACATGCTTTCTTCTTTCCTTATACATGTAAAAGTAGATGAATAGAGATTTTAGGTCCACTGTAAAGAAGCAGTCACTGAGTCAGTTTGTTTTCTAAGCCTCCTTGGTACATAGTGTACATGTAACTCAAGATGATGGCACATGTGGCCGGCAGGGGCAGGGACAGCCAGGCCTTAATGAGGTGTGACCATCCCTGCTGACCCCCTATGAGGGGAAGAAGTTGACTTGTGATTCAGGCAGGGAAGGGAGTCCTGCTAGTCTGGGTGATTAATGATGATTAATTGTGAGAGGACCTGTGTGGCACGTATGCCACAGCCCAGAGGGAACTGGACCTGTGCTGCATGGGTGCCAAAAGTGCCCAGTAAGTGCCCATGACGTGCGGCACGCATGCTGCACGGATCAAGCTTTTGACTAGGGTATTGGTAACATTTGTTTCATGAGGCCACTTTGGGTATAGTTATTTTACATCAGTACAGAACCTGAGTACTTAGAGATTTAGTATTTTGAACCTGAACCTTTTCTGCAGCCCTATCCTGTATAGTTTTTATTTCATACCTGCATGGGCTGCGATTACGTTCGAAACGGATGTTCCGGACCAGGCCATACTTTTAAGGCACAGCCCGGGCTTCTTTATGCATATGACCTGGGCTTCCCTGGCTTCCATAGAACGAATCGAACGTGGTTTGCCCTAACCGAATTCACCGCTTTCGAAAATTTGAATTCAATACAGAATTCGGGTGTTGGAATTGATGTTGTTGCATTTTTTGGTTTAGGGAAACACAAACTTTTCGCTCATTTCGCATTGAAAGGCCTGTTTTCTTGGGTAGACACATGTATGACATAAATAAAATACAACACGGTGTATTCCTCATCACCCTATCCCTCCCGCCTTCGGGCGATCCAACCTGCGGTCGGGCTGATACCTCGGGCGATACGGAATACACCATGTTGTATTCTATATCTAGCGACTCACCCATGTGTAGTGAATACAGACTTGAAGCGCTGTGCTGTGTTGATGAGTGCTGCCAGGCAGTGCCGGGAAATGTTCATGTCCTCACAATGAAGAGAGAAAATCCCAGTGATGGTACAAAGGAATAAAGAAATGTCCTCATCCCACGGAAACTCTGACGGCATGTTCAAGAACATACCGGACAGCATCTGAAGGAGACAGGAACATAAGTTTAAGATACTGTAAGGCCACATCAATTTAATTCGTTTCTCAGATTTTTCCGAAAAAATATGAAGCGACAGGGTGAAAAAAAAAAAAAAAACAGGCCAAGGCACCCTGTGATAGCTGGAAATGGTACAATATGATTCATTAAGTGAACATACCAGGCTGGTTTATAATTAAAATAAAAGATTTTGAACTTTTAATGAAACAATCTTGCATTAAATATTGATACTTTAAAAAACTTGAACAACTAGGAAGAAAGGGACTTTCTTTAACCGTTGGGGACAAAATATGTCTTACATTGAGCATTTTGCAGTTGATTTAGAACTAAAAAGATTTTTTTTTTTGCAAATCAGAAAAAATAGACAGGGCAAATCCAGGAAACAACAAATTAAATTGGTGTGGCCTAAAGAACATGCTAACACTGACTAGTGAATTTGGTACACAATAAAGTAGACATTACAACAAAAGTACAGAACCTGCCTTTTCATTAAATATATACTAATGCTACAGCCAGTAAATTTTATGGATGACATCACTGTGTGCATTACATTTCACTTGCACATGCACATTATATATTAGGTGGCAAACATTAGTACCGATGGATTGCAGCTAAATTTTTCAGATATTTTTCAGAAAGTGAATGTTATCTCGAAACAGTTACAATGTATAACTCACAGGAGAGCTAATCTTCCACTGGTCGTGACAGAAGACAGACAGTATTCAATTTGGTGAATAGCTCTACACCATGATAACCCTAATGCTCTATTCACCATTACCAAGAACCCTTTTCAACAAGTACAATAAACAGTGACCAGTGTTCTCACCAGGATTTTTTCACAGCATAGGGTTTACATGTAGGCACAGAAGGTCAACTTCCGGGCACAAGTCATGCATTGAGCTGAAAAATGTTGAAACACATAACCCCCTGTGAGACTATCACTCTTCACAGCATAGGGGTCAAAATCACAGCATAGGGGGCCCTAACCACAACATAGGGAGCCCCTATGCCCAAAAGGCCTGGTAAGTACACTGGATAAACGTCGTGTACAAAGGACTGCAACCCTTTCCAGTAGTGTGCATGTCAGGTTAGCAAGAACAGCTGGGATCTCAACTCCTGAGCCCTTGGTCCAGAGGCAGGATTGCTGAAGTGTATAGGCTTCTTGAAAAACTAATAACCATATATAATACATATTATATATGCCAGCGTATTTTAATGCTTGATCTGCTTACCTTTGTCCAGATGTTTTTGTGAAGAGCATCAATGTCATACAGGTCCTGTAGAGACATAATACAACAATTCACAGTGAGACACACAAAACAATACTGTGTGTCTGAGTCAGCTGAGGTGAGAAGTTACTAAACTTGCTTCATTCCCTAAGTTCTATAGTCCAGGTTTTCTTATTTCTAACAATTATAATAATAGTATGTACTTTGTCAACATCTCTTTTCTAAGACTATATGAATATGGGGCAGGCAGCAAATGGGTACGATAATATGTAATGAATAGCAAAGTTCTTTGATCACAACCATTTATATTTTACGAACCAACGTTTCGATGACCGTCTGTCATCTTCATCAGGGCAATTCTGACTGGTTTACTGTGCACTGACACTAGATGTTACTTGGTGCATAGTGCACTAAAGGTGTTACATGGTTCACAGTGCATGCCCTGATGAAGATGATAGACAGTCATCGAAACGTCAAGTTATAAAAAATAAATGGTTGTGATTAAAGAACTTTGTATTCATTCGTTTACCAACCTGATCAAATTATTTACGGGCATGATTTGTAATGTAAACAGCCTCCAATTCTGGACTTCCAGTTTAATTATGGACTAATTCTCATATCTCAGCAACCTTACATCTAGATGGGCTAATATCATAAACTATAGGTAAAAATGAGTTAAAAAATATGTGGTGGCCATCAAGGGCCCCTAATTCTGTAGAATTCTGAACTGGAGCCAGAATTCTGCATGGGAATTGGACCCAGTATTCTGGGTAGAATTCTGCAAAATAGGGATAATTCCCAAGGGATTTAAAGGTTAAAAGTTTAAAGGAATGTACAGACAAGATATGTACAGAATACGATTCAGCTGTTGAATTAACCTTTCACCATTTCAACCTTAGGCCACGCCAATTTAACTTCTTGGTTAACAGATTTTTCTAGAAAAAAATGGAGCGGGTGGGCGAAAAAAAAAACCAAAAACAGGCCTAGGCATCCTATTATGGCCAAAAATGGTACTGTAACAATAGGAACCATGAAGTCAACATGCACACCAGGCTGGTTCAAAATTTAAACAATGAATTTTTAACTTTTAATGATACCACTGTGCATTGAAAGATGGAATAACAGTGACTGTAACAACTAGAAAGAAAAGGACTGTTTTTTACTGTTCAGGGCAAAATATGAGAATTTTGTATTTTCTTTTGCAAATTAAAAAAAAAAGGAAGTGGGCGAATCCGTTAACCAAGAAATTAAATTGGTGTGGCCTTAGATTCAGTTTTCATCATCATCATCATAAAGAGCATTATAATTTAGTTAAGCATCAGAGTTTCACCTACTTTTCCAAGTTTCCCACTGAAGAGAGCGAACGGAACATCTAATGACTTCCGTGAGAAGCTTGGAAGTGACTTCAGCTCAGACTGTAAGAACATCACATGACTCAGCACCTAGGACAGAGCCAAAACAAGTCAGCTTCATCACACCTGTACCACTTCTCAGTCAAGGCTCATTTACAGGAAAACATGTTCAACCTCATCGGGATCCAAAAAACCTGGTTGCCCAGTTGCCCGGGGCAACCTAAATTTACTTGGGGCAACCTATTTTTGTTGTTTTATTTTTGTTAATTTCAGGTATTAATGGCTATTACTAGTATCAACTAACTAAAGGCTGTTAAAAATATTGTCAAAGGCTTATGTATGTACCATCATTACTTAATTTGAGGAAAGTAGTAACTTATAGGTGGGACAACCTAAAATTCTGATCGGCAACCTAATTTTTGCCATTGGTTGCCCACTGGGCAACCTGGTTCAAAAAGTATTTTGTACACTGCTATAGGAGTGGTAAACTTTATTGAAGATCAATCATTTTAAATGTTACAGGTTCTCCAAAGCCTATATATGGGGCACAACAGGCATGCTTCAAGATTGATATTCAAATGAAGGAATGAATGAATGTTTTCTTTTATTCAATTTGTACTATGTGATGATTTTTCTACTTAATACATGATATCCAATGTCAATTGTATGGAATATTGCAGGTTGTAGCAAGAAAAGGAATACATATAATATATATTATAATACATGTCAAGTGTAAATGGACATTCCATCCCTTCTGGAGAGACCTGTGAATTTTGTACACTCAGTAATTCTGGTGTTCCAAATTTTAGAATTATATATAAATGACATCTTCCCAAATTGCACATTACCACTTTCAGACACCCTACATGTATATCTACATTTTGATTCTAATTTTAGGGCATTAAAAGGTGATCCTGAACACTATATACCTATATAAAAAACACCATCAGTTAGTAGAATATTTCTCAATCAGTGACTCTTTTTGAAAGGTAGAGACACGTACCTCCAATTTTTTAATGTTCACTTTACATCTGTAAGTAGTGATGGTAAAACCAAAAGATCCCTAGTGGAACGGACTGATGAACATCAGAAGTCTGCAGACCGTCAGGACGGTAAATCTGTGCTTTGCCAACATGAACTCAAAGCGGGACATGGCCCTATCTTGGGCATCGTTAAGATCATAGACCAGGAATCCCGGAAGGCACATAGAAAAGCGGTCCACATCCAGTTGGAACGTACCGGGACGAATCGCAATGAAGGTTGGGAGCTGCCCAAGTCCTATTTACCCCTACTCCGCAAGGAGGCGGGGGAGGCCACAAGACCCGCACAAGTCTCGTCCTAGTCTCATGTTCTCGCGAGACTAGGTCACTCCGTGATCAAGATGTACAGTCGACATCCAAAATTTGGAGGTACGTGTTTCTACCTTTTAAAAGGAGTCACTGATCGAGGAATATTTCACTATTACTGATAATTCTACGTGCATGACTGATGAACCTCTTCGACAAAAAACACAATGATTATGATGAAAGGACTACACGTACCTGTCCTGGAAATGAACTCTGCAGCAGAGTTGTCATGAAGCGAAGCCTGCCCAAGTCTGCCAGCTTGGAGGTAAAAGTCTGTCAGGAGTTAACAAACATAAATTGAGTTCTGATATCGTGTATTCAGGCAGTCTTCGCTGGACCACCAACATTACGCCACCAATAAAGGCTACAACTAACACTCAGGCTTTTCAGAAAATACAAAGATACATGTATGTACACACTCAGATATTACGATATCAGGGATATCGCGACCAAAACATACGAAAAAGTCACGTTTCCGGAGATTTACTGCGCACTTACTTAGACTCTGGTCAGATTTAAACTCCGACACGGAACGTTAACCGGTTCTTGAGTTATCCTCTTTTGAATATTTTTAAAGAACCACCCCTGCAGTTACAGAGCAAGCTGCTAGGGGGCCCAAACATACGTCACTTCTTCCCCAGCATAAGAGCTATAATACCTATCACAGTCTCAAATTTTGTGACCCTAGCATGTGCAGATCATGAGATATTAAAACCGGAAGTTCCGCTGCATTACCACAGAAAGTCATCAGGGGGCCCAAAATCTAATAATTTCTAGTTCTCATCAAGACCTACCCAGCTACCAAGTATGAAGACAATCCATTTAAGCCTTCTCGAGTTATCCTGTTTACAGACACACAGACAGACAGACACACACACAAACGCCTCTGAAAACATAACCTTCTTAGCGAATGTAATAATCAGGTCTTTCATTCATTCACTAAACACCAGGTACTTCCTCTCTTTTTGAAGTTTGTCATGATGATATTTAATTTTGCTCTTGTGAGGCCAAATATCCATCATGTCAGTGTCCAGATGTACACATTGTCAGGTAGAACTTCTCTCAGGTGTCAAGCACATGATTTGTTGGTATGTTGGAAGCACAGTCTTTACACTGTGACGTGAACAAAGACACCAATGTTATCTTCAAAGTTCAGCTGTGTTGGTAGAAATCATTAGGGAGCAAGTTTAAACTGCAATTTACAACACAACAAATTGGACTCACCCAAATTTTTGACTGTACAACTCCAGTCTTTATCACGGAAAGACTCACAACATTACACATAGAATCGCCTGGTCATTCAGTCTCACTGGATAAAGTAAGGATCTTGGACTCAGAACCAGACTTCTTCACACGTGGGATTAAAGAGGCCATCTACATCAGGGCATTACAACCATCCCTCAACAGAGACAGTGGTGCCACAGACTTTCTGCAACTTATGATCCACTGCTCACGGAGTCACGTGTTATCTGCATGACGTCACGGAAGTGGTGGATTGCTCATTCCAATTTGTTGTGTTGGAAATTACAGTTTAAACTTGCTTCATAAAAGACTGGTATGTTGTCTGTGTTGTCAGTTGCCCTTGTGAGTTCAAAGTACATGTATCTGAACTTCCACCACATAGACCCTGTTACCCCCACCTGTTTCTGGTATATCTGATAGGCTTGTCTGGGGTCCATCTTAACTAACTTCAGCTGTGGTACGACCTGTCGCTTGAAGAAGTAGTAGTCCCGCACGTACCACTGGTCATTTCTCAGTTGATCTGCAACATACAGTCATGTACATCAACAAATGCATGCAAGATAAAATTCAAGATTTTTTACCTCAATCAGAAAAGAGCACAATATCATAGTAAGATAATTCACAACTGAAAGATCTGTAGTCAATATATGGCAAAATTATGGCATTTACTAATATTAGTAATGACCTACAGAATCTGATGTTAAACTGTTACAGATAATTGATTTCTATGGAAAAAAGGTGATGCCAACGTAACATGCCAATGTAACAATGAAATTTATCCAGATTCAATAAAATGATAAAGTTAAACTTAAAGTTGAAGAAATATTTCACTAACTTGTCTTTTTGTCTGCCAGAAAGTGCTGATCATGCTGATCTTGCCTGATGTTGAAAAACTCCAGGCAGTCCTGTAGAATACTATTGAACTGTGTATCCTGCAGTAGAATCATACAAACATGTTACATGTATAAAGCCTTGGTCACAACGCGCCGTACGCGCAACTGCGTGCTGTCTACGTGCAAAAACGTGGGCAAATTTTGGGGATCCTTAAGTGGTGTGTACCGCCTCTGTACGGAATCCAGTGGATTTGGGAGCACGCAGACACTTACCACTTGAGCTACGAACGATGCACGCGACTGCTGATGGCCAGACGTGGTGTGAGACCACATACTCACACCTTGTGTAACCGTGTGATTGACGTATGTTAACGTACTGATCATGCCAGTCCTTCCCCACGTTTTCAGAAAAACGTAGCAGACGTGGCCTCCCAACACGTACGGCAGGTTGTGACCGGATCCCCAAAATTTGCCTACGTTTTTGCACGAGGACAGCACCCAAATGCACGTACCGCGGTTTGTGACCGAGGCTTAACTGATGTGACCATGGCCAAATTCACTTAAAGAAACTGTCATTGACATGGTCCTTCTAACTGTCAAGTTTTGACAATGAGGTTGACAAAGCTTACAGTAATAATCTTACTTCTTGCTATGAGATTCTGTCTTAAGTGGTCTCAGCTTAACTCCATACTGAGGCCACACCAATTTAATTTGCTGTTTCTCAGATTTAACAAAAAAATATGAAAAAAAAGAAAACAGATCAAAGCACCCCATGATAGCTTTCACACCTACAAACCGGTGCTGTCCTTTCACCTGTTCTCATACTAGCTACATGTAGTCAACAAAACATACAATTCATATTATCCTCAACACAACATATAGCCTCCAAACAATAATGTGCCGAACATAACAATTTTTTAGTGTCTTATGTAATAATAATTTAGTTACATGTATATGTATGTTTGATGTGCTTGTTAAACCTTGCCCAATATCAGCCATTGCTGTCTGGGTAGTTCACTGTATCGGGATGTTGCAATTCTAATAAATGAAGCTACATGTTCTAAGATTTGCTCTGCTGCCTGAGCAGGGACCGGTCTGAGCCAGTTGTTACCAGCTGAGAGAAGTGGTTACCTCCAGTACAGGCAGCTGGGTGGGGATGCACGACTCATCTGTCCCATGTACAATCACTTTCTGAAAAAGAAGGAAAAAAAGTCAACTTAGGCAATAATGACAATCATTCCAGTCTCCTCTACAAATATAATTATAAACTATTTACCCTTCATCACCAACCTTCACTCCCAACTAAGGCCACACCAATTTAACCAATTTAATTTCTTGGTTAACGGATTTTTCTAGAAAAATAATGGAGCGGGCGGGCAAAAAAAATGAAAAATAAAAACAGGCCTAGGCATCCTATTATGGCTCAAAATGGTACGATAGGAGCCATGAAGTCAACACACAAGGCTGGTTCAAAATGTAAACAATGAATTTTGAACTTTTAATGATACCACTGCATTGAAAGATGGAATAACTGTAAAAACTAGCCTGGATTAAAGGGACTGTTTTCAACTGTTCAGGGCAAAATATGAGTATTTTGCAGTTGATTCTGAATTTTTATTTTTATTTGCAAATCAGAAAAAAATGAAGCGGGCGAATCTGTTAACCAAGAAATTAAATTGGTGTGGCCTAAGAAAATAAGAAAAACAAGAAAAAGCATTTTTGGTAGTGTGGGTTTTCCAGGATGCATCAGTGGTTTAGAATCTGTATCATGGGAGAGTTAGGAGGTTTAGTTTATTTAATAGTTTACTTTATTTATCCAGGATATAACATATCACTGCAATGCCATTTTTCAATGTTGTACACTAAAAAAAGCAGTTACTGTACTAAGATAATAAACAGGAAGACAAATATACAAATTAACTTGAAGATAATTACAATAATAGTTGGGAGTTAAATGTAGGTTATGGATGAAGGGGTCATATTATGAGGCTAACTGCCTGAAGAAACCACATTCTTTGCTGTCCTTCCACAGATTGGCACTTTGGAGGGACTGTTATTTTGACTAGTCTAAGGTATTAAAATTAAAAAAAAAGCAGTTAACAGACTTTCATAGATCTTAGCAGATGTTTTAGAATTCATCTTAGACTAGTTTTGAGCTGATATCAAAGGTTCAAACATCACTGATAATACGTATACTGGGTACAGAACACCAACCCTTAAGACAATGGAAAACTTAGTACAAAGTGACCACTGGTTCAGCACCAAGGACAGCACATATTAACACATATATTAGCTTTACTAACTGTAACTGTAACTGTTATGTATAGAACATTTTATACCCACAACATTGAAGAATGTGATCCATCTGTAAAACAGACCTTAGCAGTTTAAAAAAGTGTTTTAGATTTTTACATATTAATTATTCTTTCATTTCCCATCTAGTCCCTATACTTTCTGATGGAAGGCAAAACAAACCTTTGTACTTGGAACATTTGCAGTAAGGAGGACAGCATGCTGCAACAATACAATATAGTTATAGTTATCATATTATAAATGGTAACTTAACACTGTCAGTCACCTGCTCTGACATACTTATGTAGCACAAATTGTGAAAATCTAATTTAACAGAATCAAACTATTACTTTAATTTGCATCATTGAATGAACATACACTTTGTTGCATTGACATTACAAAAGCTAAATCATATTTGCCATAGTCATAATTAAGAATAATTATAACCCATGAACAGTGGATTTTGTCCACTCACCTCACAGTGCTCTTTCCTCAGAATTGGTTTCACATCTTTGGGATACAGACTCTCCACAAAAGGAACCACCTGCAATCAACAACAACATCATTGCAAACAACCTTACTGCTAGAACAGACTAAAGTGCACATTTCTGCTAAGGCCACACCAATTTTATTTGTTGACTCTCAGATTTGCCTCTTTAAGTTTTTTCTGATTTGCAAAAAAAAAAAAAGATTCTTGTTCTGAATCAACTCAAATATGCTCATATTTTACCCCCAACAATTGAGGAAAGTTCTTTTCTTCCAAGTTGTTACTGACATTTGCATCTATAAATGCAGTGGTTTGGTTAAAACTTCAAAATTCATTGTTTAAATATGAACCCAGCCTTTTGTGTTGACTTCATGGCTCCTATCATAGCATTTGGGTCTATCATAGGATGCCTACACCTGTTTTTTTTTTGCCCTGTCCGTTCACATTTTTTCTGAAAAAATCTAAGAACCAACAAATTAAATTGGTGTGGCCTAAGGCAGCCATTACTTTGCTGCTTTGGACTACAACTTCACTGGTAAAAAGGCAAGGTGCTAGAAACAACATTTTTATTTAGACAAAGCACCCAGTAGTATGTACTATTGTAATTAATTATTACAGAACAGTGACCTTTCTAGCCAACATCATTAAAACATTACGGATACCATTTCCTTCCAAAATTTGAAATGATAGTAGTAAACTCTTCTCTTACCTGGTAGATAGCAGACAGAGTAATGGCCATGGCATCATCTTCCCCTCGCACAGGAGATCTGACATAGTACATCACCAGTCCCATCTACATGTACAGGAATGAACACAGGAGATCTGACATAGTACATCACCAGTCCCATCTACATGTACAGGTGAACACAGGAGATCTGACATAGTACATCACCAGTCCCATCTACATGTACAGGAATGAACACAGGAGATCTGACATAGTACATCACCAGTCCCATCTACATGACATTGTACAGGAATGAACACAGGAGATCTGACATAGTACATTACCAGTCCCATCTACATGTACAGGTGAACACAGGAGATCTGACATATACATCACCAGTCCCATCTACATGTACAGGTGAACACAGGAGATCTGACATAGTACATCACCAGTCCCATCTACATGTACAGGAATGAACACAGGAGATCTGACATAGTACATCACCAGTCCCATCTACATGTACAGGTGAACACAGGAGATCTGACATACATGTAGCACATCACCAGCCCAATCCTGAATTTCAGTTCGTTTCATTTATGAATGAGGGCTGCATACTTTAATTGAGAAAATACAGAATACAATATGTACAATGTCATGTTTATTTTTTTATCACATCCATTTCTAGTACTTTGTCCTTACATGGTGGATCTACGAGTGATCTAACCAGTGTTCGAATTCAGAGCATTTATATGTACTTACCAGCTGATTAAAGAGATAGTGTGATGTGTGCTGTGGTAGGTGATCTCCTGCATTCAGCAGCCTTCTCAACAGCCATACCAGCTCCTCCTGAAAATCACACAGTTGTGATGAAATTTCTGCTGTGTGTCATCACATTATATGAATACCAAGTCATGTAATTTGCACTTTTATTTATTTATTTATTTGTTTATTAGAATTCACCACAAGTACAAACATACAAGTGGAAGGGATGACAAAACAGTTGTATTGACACCTTTACAAGTTGTCTTCCCAAACACTACAATATAAATAACAACTATATAGATACAAATTACAATGTCGAACAATTGTTGACATGAAATACAAATTCCTACAATAACTGTCAGTGATACGTATACATTAGTCCTAAAAATGCAATACAATATAATATACACTGCCATAAAATATTGCTCATTATATATAACTGTAATAATACTAAAAACTAGTAATAATACTAATGAGGTCTTAAAGCTGTACAGGAGGCGCACCTACAAGATGTGGACCAAGAGCAAGGAAAGTCACTTTCGGGGTATTGCCTTTTTCTTTCAGACAATCTTAAACTATTTCTAGGCGTACACGAAATACAATCCTATACGTCATTTTGATAATACATTACAATGACATGTACTACGTTAAAATTTCTGTTCCTTTCTTGTAGGTAGGGATGGTACAACAATATTTATAACAGAGACTAAAAACGGGAGCTAAGTTCAGTTGTTGAGTTATAAGTTATTACCTGTTTTGGTCTGACATTAAGATTCTCCAGGAAGTGTTTCAGGAAGAGTGCAGGATCATCAACCAGACAGGACCAGCAAACCATCCGGGCAACAGCACCAACTATATGAACAGAATATGCGTAATTGTAAGGAATTTACATGAGAAAAAAATTCCCAATTTCTGTACAAAATGTAATTATTCTATGGACTAACATGGACATAAAAGTCAACATCAGTCAAGGTTAGAAAACTTTCCACAAGTTTGTCAAGCAATAAATCAATTAACTCTTGAACAACAGTTTAAAGCCTCCTCGTATTATGATGATTATACTTTGCTAAATACAAGAAAAAACTTGCTTGTCAGTTATTATCCTCTTAACATTAAGACTAATAATGGTCTTTTTAAATACAAAAGTCACATGACAACCTACATGTACATGTTGCTGTGAAAAATACAAACTTAGTACACGTATGCATCATGTTTGTTTGTTTTGTGTGTCAAAGAAAACTGAGTTAGGCCACACCAATTAAATTTGTTGTTTCTCGGATTTTTTCAGAAATAATATGGAGTGACAGGGCGAAATAGAAAAAAAAACAGGCCAAGGCACCCCATAATGTTACAATATGAGCCAGAACATACCAGGCTGGTTTATAATTAAGACAATAGATTCTGAACTTTTAATGACCCAAATTGACTGTTACAATTTTGTACATTGAAAACAACTAGGAAGAAAAGGGCTTTCTTAAACTGGGCCAAAATATGTCTTTCATTTGGGTATTTTGTAGTTAATTTAGGCCACACCAATTTAATTTCTTGGTTAACGGATTCGCCGCTTCATTTTTTTCAGATTTGCAAATAAAAATAAACATCCAGAATAAACTGCAAAATGCTCATATTTTGCCCTGAACAGTTGAAAATAGACCTTTTCATCCTAGTTGTTACAGTTATTCCATCTTTCAATGCAATGATATCATTAAAAGTTCAAAATTCATTGTTTAAATTTTGAACCAGCCTGGTGTGTTGACTTCATGGCTCATATCGTACCATTTTGGGCCATAATACAATGCATAGGCCTGTTTTTATTTTATTTTTTTTTTCGCCCGCCCGCTCCATTATTTTTCTAGAAAAATCCGTTAACCAAGAAATTAAATTGGTGTGGCCTTAGCACCAAAAAAATCTTCTTTTTTTTGCAAATCAGAAAAAAATGGACAGGGTGAATCCGAGAAACAACAAATCAAATTGGTTTGACCTTAACAGAATACAATCAATATACAGTTTTATTGTCAGTCTTTCTATGCTTTCTGATAATCCCATGGACTACTATGTTTTATGATGATAACAACACAAAAAATTGCTGTGACCTTTCAACCCTTCTTCATTGACCTCCTCATCATCAGTCAGACGTATCAAGATGGCGGCTATCGCAGATATGGCGGACGGCAGGACGGGTTGTGCAGGTGTCAGGGTCTGGTGCAGGGACGTGTGGTCTGACCTCTCCTCTACATTCCCTACTGCTGGGAGGTCAAACAACAGTTTCAGTAGAACGGTCTGTATCTATCTGTATAGCCGGTATAAGCGCCTTTCGGCGTAACACCAGCTTCGCAGGCATGCGGCGCGGCGGCAGCTGGCTACATTACACTGATCAACTTGTTACACCTAACCGTTGAACATCTAACTCTAAACAATGTTTAAAGCTATCTTATGACAATGCCCCTACTGTACTTGGTGACAGCGAGTTCCACTCTGCGATAGTTCTATGAAAGAATGAATTCTTGAACACCTCAATCCTTGGTTGATAACTCTGGTAGTTGAAGGCATGGCTATTTCTTGTTCACTTCAGGGCTGGTATATATATATTAGGTACTTAGTGATTGGGACGTCCACCAGTTCATTAGTCATTTTGTACATCATGCATAGTCTGGACACTTTTCTTTGTCTCAGTCTAAGTTTTGAAAACGAAGATGCGCGTATGAGTTTTGCTTGTTTGGACAGACAGCAGCTTGACCAGTTGTAGGAGTCGTGGATGGAATAACAAGAAAAGTTGTGTAGGCTGTATGATAATAACATTAATGACCTGCATCTTAAACTGCCACATTCGCTTTCTCTCAAAGGAAATGACAGGTTATGAATGAAAGGTTATGACACCATATACATCTCGGTGCAGGTCATTAACCCTCAACTGTTACTTCATCTTTGCTTACAACTTTAACCTCCTTGCTTAAAACTGCTATGCTGCAGACAAACTGTCCACAAATGTACAGGTGTGTTAGAGCCATTCCCTTTAATTTTATGCAATAATATTAGACAACAATGTGGTTTCCCCCAAAGCCGATTTCAAGTGGCTCCATCTGAACGCTCCAAATCATATTGAAAGTGCCTCGATCCCACTTCTAGAGGTGGTTTCGAATCGGTTTTCCGCGATTTGCATCTGAACACAATGTGATTTCAATGTGACTTCACCTGGTCATGGATTACAGGGTGATATTTCTTTATTTATTATGTAATACCAAATTTTACTTGGCAGCAACTTAAAGAGCAGTAATGGTCAAATAATGTGTCCGTTCTAGGACAAGCTTCACCGCCTCATGGCGGGACCACGTCGGCATTCGGCCGAGATACGATGGGAGGCCAGCAAGCAGGTCGTTGACCCCTGACATTGATAACACGCCACCTTGCCTGTTTTCATCAAACAACAATGAATGCAGTTTCGGAGAATTGTGATCGGACACGGTTTGAAAGGCATGTGTGGCACGTGGACCAGATGTGAGGAATGTGAATTACCCAAATTGCAGTTCGGGTGGTTTCATATGAACAAGGCCTAATAGTCCACTATATACTATGTATATTCTTCAGCTGGCACCCAGTAAATGACAACAGCTATTGTGTAAAAAAACCAGGTCAGTGACCCCTTAGCACGTCTGCATAATATGAATTTCAAAACTAGTTTTTATTGGGGCCAGACACCCCCTTTGGAAAAATAGTGTAACCCTGATGGATTTCCGCAGATACTTTCACAACTTACTGTTAAACTGTTATAGTCCTTAACATTAAACAATCACGCTGCAGGCTGTAACTGTTTTAATTATCTGAACACCTGAAATACTGACAGTCCTATACAAAAACAATCTGCATCATCTGGACTCCAATAACTAATCAGACCCCAAAAGTCAATTGAAAGGAATCCATCAAACCCATCATGACCTACAGCTGGGAACATAAACAAAAATATCAATCCATGCCTTCAAAAGTTATGCCACTAAATCCACAGTCTTCCACACTATAGCAGACCCTTCACAAACTTAAAAATAGAACCCTTCTGCAGAAGAATATGTCCTTCCCCAAAGATAGCATACGTCATGTGTGACATTTTATGTCATACTGGGCCGCAATTATGTTTGATACGGGTGTTCTGGCCCGTGATAACTAGTGGTGCGGCCCGGGGGTTCTTTACGCGTACGGCCTGGGCTTCCAAATGCTCCATAGAACGATTTGAATGCGCTTCGCCCTAACCGCGTGCACCGCTTTCAAAAATTTGAATACAAATTTCGGACGTTGGAATTGATGTTTTTGCATTTTTGGGGGTTTAGGGACACTAAATTTTCGCTCATTTTGCATTAAAAGGCACGTTTTCTTCGGTGATTATGACATATTAATATAAAATACAACTGATGAAATACATGGTGTATTCCGCATCACCCTCGGTCCCAGCCCTCCCGCAGATCGATACGGAATACCCGTGTTGTTCTATATTTACCATCATCGTCTCCGTCATGCTGTACCAGGGTCTGCTCGTATCCTGCCTTGAGGAGGACAGGCACAGCTGTGATGTGACACTCTCCACGTGCCACCTGCAGGTGCTGTTCCTCTGCTAACAGCACCTGATGCAGGTGTGCATCCTGCTGGGCTGTTCTGCTGGTAGCAGCTGCAGCAAACATTCGTTTCTGAAGAACATACATCCAACTATTAGTTGGTATAGAGCATTGAAAATCGTTTGTGTAATTGCATAAGCTATGACCTGTGTGGTTAAAATAGATAAGCTTACATTGTAAGACATTGTATCAGCTGTGTAAGACCAACTTGAAGATAATTTGGTTTTATCCGATCACACCAGGGCTGTCCTCAAACACAGTACCTCAGGCTATATTTCCCATCTACGGGGAAAGTCCTAACTAAAGCCTCTGTCACAACCAGCCATGCGCCATTTGTCCGTACATTTTATTGGGAGGCCACTTCTGCCACGTTTTTCTGACGTTGTCACGGTCACAATGATAAAACCAGTGAGAGCATTCCTTCTCATTATCTGCTCTATAGAAAGATCTCTTTCATTAAATATTAGACTTTTTTTTTCATGCATGCATGTGACATGAATGTCCAACCAGTAACATGGATATAGGGAAATCCAAGACAATTCCAACATTGTATCATCATCGGAGATTTCAAGTTTCCAGAAAGGGTACATCTCAATGTACAAATTAAATCCCTTGTAGTACCTGTCCGTCCTCAGCAATGTTCTCATCCCACATGGTACAGTGTGCCATCCATGGGGGGTCTGCCACTGTACAGCCGCCCAGACCGATAGTTGGGGATGGTTGGGTGAAGTCGATGTTAGGTGGTGGGATCTGCACAGAAATCATGGACTTCTTTTGTAAGGGAGTTGATTGTAAAAAATATTCCAAACAAACATTTATCCAGCAATCAGGCAGTGCATGTAACTATATGGTCTAAGAAATCTTTTTTTGTCTGCAGAATGGTTTTCTTACACTGCAGTTCTTGATTTAAGAAATCTTTTCTTGCGTACAGAATGACTTCCGTGCAACAAGAACAGTTAGCTCTTAGTGTAAGAAATCCTTTCTTATCTACAGAATGGCTTTCTTGCTACAAGAGTCATAGGTCTTGGTCTAAGACATCTCTTCTTCTCTACAGAATGGCTCTCTTTGTGCCGCAGTTCTTGATTTAAGAAATCTTTTCCTATGTCACTCGTTCTCATTCAAATGTACAAAATGCTGTCGCCACTCTTAACGACTAGGTAAGAGCCAAATCATGGACCTCATCGTTGTTTTCTTCACTTTCCCATTTCACTTACTATGTTTCACGAAAAATGTATCACAAACCTAGGTTTGATTGACGACTTGAGAGAAATTATGGTCGCGGGTTGGATTTCTCCCCCTAAAAAGCGGCTGTCGCCTGAGACGAAATAGAAACTTTAAAAAGCAACCTAAATCGTAGCAATTTGATTACGGCAGTAGTTTTCTGCCTAGTGAAGTCAGATGGCCAGGCCCTCTGACTGATCAGGTCAGATCGCTCCTGTCACTATTCTTGTACGCCATGCGAGGTGTTTCATACCTGTCGCCAAGTTCTGTAACATCCGTTACCGCTCAAGTAAGACGGTCGTGCAGTTGAGATAGAGTCACATATAAGACAAGAAATTCCCATTTTGATGACTTTTAGCAAGTATTCTAGGTTTCTAAGAGAAGAAGAAAAGAGTGTGTGCTATCATTTGTAGCCACCTTCGCTGAACAAATTGTTTTACAGTAATGAATGTAACATCCGTTACCGTTGTTACTCCGTGAAGGAGGTCAGGACCTCCGGACGGAGTGTTGTGATCGGCTGATTTTTCGTGTTCGCAGTCAAAACACTGGGTTCTCTTTGTGTAATCGGCACGCAATTTTATACGCCGTCTGCGGGCATGCCCGTGTTGATGCACGAATGTGTATTTTTGCCGTTGCTGCTTTCGCGGTCAATGTAATATCGCAGACGCACCCCTACAATTACGAGGCGAATTGGAATGGTCCAGAAAAACGCGTTGTTTGGAATAGCAGTGGGGGGGGGGTAAAAGTTCATGCAGATACGGGGTGGTTTTTATAAGTGGTTCCAGATGTTTTTGCCCATGGTTAAGAGATGCCAAGTTTTTTGGAAGATGTTCGCAGCCAAAACGCATTCTTCCGTACGTCGCATTTCTGTGTAATTTCGCATGTGGTGTTGCATTATGTCCGGGATGATGCACGTCTTTTTATTTTTACCGTAGCTATTTTGATATTGAAGTAAATGCATATTTTAGAAACATCCCTACTTTTACAATCCTGTGGAATAGGCCGTAGGTTTAGGCAGTTGTCTGGTAGCAGATGTACTCTAAGCAGATATCCTGGTTATCTGGCCGGCGGTAGTAACACTCGCGGTGCTTACCGCAACTATTGCTGGAATTTCCAGGCGCGCTTAATTAGGTACAGGCACGGTAAGACGGTGGGACTGTCTTTGTTACTAGACACGACCATGATAGTCCGATCTTTATGTGAATGCAATGATTGTGTGTGTGTAATTAAAATGAACTTCGAACTTGAAGCACAGTATATATCTTTACACGCCCTGGGAGCAGTAATGGATTTAGCTCTTTGTATGTTTTATGCTTGTGACGCGCCCACATTGTATTAACCGTTGCCTAATTATAATGTCTGCACAGTAGGTCTGGCGTTGACGCTTGGGATTTTGTTGAAATATATAAAACTTCACGGAGGATTGTCACCTATGGCTTCTTGTTTTTACTTTCAATTTTAGTTTCTTCACCTGGTAAATAAAAAGTCGCCCAGTTTTAAAATGTCCGTACTTATGCCTCCTTGTTCTCAAAGGATGAAGATAAAAACTGCAGATCTTCTTGTAGAAATAAACAAAAACGTCCGTTTTGTAACATCCGTTACCGGTAACGGAAGTTACACCTGTAGCGGAAAAGACGTAACAAGTGATTGAATTTCCCTTCCCTATGCACCATAAACATAATAGTTGGAAATAAAGTAGAAAAAAATATGGATCCGAAGAAAAATAACCCTCTGTGGCGTCAACAGACTCAAATGTGCTACTCTTCTTTCCTTCCAGACATATTTTTTGCTACTTCTCTACACTACTCTTTATGTGTTCGATACGTGTATATTTACCAGTAAATGATGGGCTGACAGAAGTACTTTCATAGATACTGACGCCTAAACTAATGGCTTTTGAGGTGACGTCATGAATACAAGCTATATCGTACACCCAATTCATGCTGATGTTCCAGTGTTTTTGCCGCACTAAAAATTGCACTGTTTGCATATGTCTTATCTAAGTGCATAAATTTTCGGTAACTTCCCATGGCAATTAAGCTGTCCTTTTTTGGTTATCATAATTTGAGATGTTTTCCTAAAAAATAAGGTAGGTTTGCCTGAAAAAACAGATCATCGATTTTTCGACCCAAAAAATCACCATTTTGTACATTTCAATGAGAACGAGCCATGTATAGAATTACTTCCTTGCAACAAGAACAGTTAGCTCTTAGTGTAAGAAATCTTTTCTTGAATACAGAATGACTTTTTCCCTGGAAGAACAGTTTAGCTCTTATAGTGTAAGGAATCTTTTCTTGAATACAGAATGACTCTCTCCCTGGAAGAACAGATGGCGGCCCTTTGTTCATGAAACATTTTCTTGAATACAGAATGGTTTTCTTGCTACAAGAACAGGTAGCTCGTAGTTTAAGAAATCCTTTCTTGTGGACAGCGTGTTTTTCCTGCCACAAGAACCATTGATCTTGCTCCAAGAAACATATTAATGGATACATGACATCAATTCTTAAAGGCAGAATAACTTTCTCTCTATAAGAACCTATTTTGTTACAAGAACCTTAATCTTAGTGTAAGAAATCTTGTCTTAAGGAAAGAAAGATTTTAAACATACATCAAGAAACCCATTCCAAGTTTCCCTGCTAAGAAACTTTATCTTAGTATACAGGCAAGAACATTATTCTAGCTTCAAGAAATTAAATCTTGGTTTGATGAAAACCAAAAAGAGTTTTAAGAAAATAATGCTTACATAAGATTATAGTGTAAGAAGCTCTAATTCTTACCACAAGAACAGTATTCTTAGAAATTAGTTCATTTAGTTGTAAGAAAAAAAGTGTGTTTCTTAATTTTCTTGCCACAGGGATTCTTGTTCAAAGCAAAATTTTCTTGCTACAAGATAAATTTTCTTAGACTTTGTACAAGAGAAAACAAGAAAAACAAGAAAAAACATTTTTGGTGGTGCAATGACAGGTGCAGATTATAAGCATGCAAATGGTATACATGTACTGTCCTAAATACAGATCAACTGTGTATGTTGAGTGCTTGGTGCATCTTTGATGTCAATATATCATTAATGTTTCCTTGTAATATTTCTGTATATCTTTTTTTCCAAGCCCTCAACTAAAGCAAAAGCAACAAAAATTGAACTATAACATGTACATCTAAAATGGGCATTAACTGTGCAATGAATGTTGTCATATTATGTTTGAGAATAAAATCTTTGTCGGTACTGAAAGCATGTGTCACCTTTTTTTGGGGGGGGGGGTATCAACTACATGTACATGTAACCGGCCATTTCTGTATAGTGGTCACCTGTCCAATTAGTGGTCAAATTTGGCCAGTCCCTTGAGTGTGACCACTATAGACAGGTTCGACTGTACTTGCTCAATGTCCAGTAACTGGGCACGCTATCAGCATACTAGCTGCCTAGTGCAATCACTGTATTATTATATTTGTTGTATTTGAATTAACTTAGTTATGCTTGACATTCATTGAAAGTGTGTCAAGCATGCCTTTGGGAGTGTGTCTGGAATATGCTTGGCATACACTGCTATTTGCAGCAATAAAAAGTATTGTGTACTGCATAATAATTATGGAAATCACACACAGTTGACATTCCATGCATTCCATTCCACGCATAAGTCAAACTAATACTATTAGACAAATTTTAGAATCTAGTACGTACAGCTGCATATGACAGAAATGCCCATTTCAAGCGACATAAGGATATACGCAGCAGTGTGACAGGACCTTACAGATAGTGTAAGGTCCTGTTGGGCTTCAGATCAAGGATCTGAAGCCCAATTTCCCCAAATAGACCTGGTCAAAATGAATAGGGGGGGGGGGTCTGGATCAAATTTGTTTGAAATCCATATCTTAATGATAGCATTTTTAAATTTATTTACCTTAAAGCAAGCACCTTCCTCCATACTTGGCCATACATGGTAACGGCTGTTCCACAGGATCTGCCACCTGCAAAATGGAAATTTCAAACAACATACATGAATAACAACCCTCTCACGATGGTGTAATATTACATCTAAAATCCTTAGCCAGAACATATAGACAGCTGTACTACACCCAAACACACACTCATACACACACACACACACACACACAGTCACATACACAGTCACACACACACACACACACACACACAAACACACACACACACTCACACACACACATACCTGTACATAGACACACACACTCACATACACAATCACACACACACACACTCACATACACTGTACACACTCACATACACACACACTCACACACACACACACACACACACACACACACACACACACACACACACACACACACACACACAGACACACACACACACACACACACACACACATACATACATATTACATACATACACATTTGTACAGTCACACAATACACAAATACCAAGAATAAAATACATAGTTATTACATACAGACTTTAAGACAAATACAAAGAATGATCATGATAATCATAGAAAAAGTGATGAAAATCAACAACACATCTGAACCAAAACTATCATCTTCGATTTTTTGTTATAAATGTACAGTGAAGTTACCTTTTGATAGCATTGATCCTTTGTGTTGGGTCTGTATGGTGCAGTTCTCTCACATACAGTTCTGTCACATGTTCAGGGATCTTCACAGATGACAAAAGCATCAGAGTTGCTGAAAATGAGCAGATTTAACATAAACTATGTGTTGATTACTGTGCAGTTACTAGTGTTGGGAAGTGTTACCTGTGATTTTAATAAAGCTCTACTGATTCCTGTACAATTATAGTAGTTAAAGTGCTCATGACACCAAAATATGCTTGCTAGAGAGTCTCAAAAAACCCACTTTTAGAAGGCCGTACAAGCTCAGTTTCTCAGTCATCATGATTGGAACAAACTTCAAGTGACCATACTGTATGTACACTTCCGATATTTGTAATTGTATGTATTTCACAGACTTTTTTTGGTGTCATGAGCACTTTAAGTAGTAGTGAGTATGATGATGATGAGTAGTAGTGTTGGGAAGTGTTACCTAATGACTGAGCTGTACTAATTCATGTTCTATAATCATTAAACAGTAAGTATGGTGATGAGTAGTAGTGTTGGGAAGTGTTACCTACTGACTGAGCTGTACTAATTCATGTTCTATAATCATTAAATAGTAAGTATGGTGATGAGTAGTAGTGTTGGGAAGTGTTACCTACTGACTGAGCTGTACTAATTCATGTTCTATAATCATTAAATAGTAAGTATGGTGATGAGTAGTAGTGTTGGGAAGTGTTACCTACTGACTGAGCTGTACTAATTCATGTTCTATAATCATTAAATAGTAAGTATGGTGATGAGTAGTAGGGTTGGGAAGTGTTACCTACTGACTGAGCTGTACTAATTCATGTTCTATAATCATTAAACAGTAAGTATGGTGATGAGTAGTAGGGTTGGGAAGTGTTACCTACTGACTGAGCTGCACTGATTCCTGTACAATAGATTAGAGTTAGTATGATGATGAGTATTTACCAGGTATTGGGAATTGTTTGAAATACTGATTCCTCTACAATAGTAGTTGTGAGTAGTTAACTGTAGTATGATGATGAATATTTGTGTTGGGTGTTACCTGCTGACAGCTGTACTGACTCCTGTACAATAGTAAGGCTTCAGTCACAAACCGTCGTATGTGCTTCTGTGTGCTGTCTACGTGCAGAAACGTGGGCAAACATAGGGCATTTGTGCGTTGTGAGTACTAGCTCCGTACAGAATCCTACGGATTTTGGAGCGCGCAGACACGCCGTAGAACTTTAAGTGCATGTAAAACTTTTTCTACGTGCGGTCTGTGGATTCACCACCCGTGCGTGCGAGTACGAGCGACGCGCGTGCCCCGTACGTGCCGTGCGGAAGAAGCACGTATGAATACAGCCTCCTTACGGTAAAGTTGCAATCGCACAAAGATCGTACGTTGTAAGCACGCACAACTCACTTACCACTTGCGCAACATACGATGCACGCAACCGCTCACGGCCAGACGTGGCGCGCAGACCACACTCTTACACCGTGGGAAACCGTGCGAGTGACGTGCGTCGATGCCACTCCTTCCCCGCGTTTTCAGAAAAAACGTAGCCTCCCAAAAAACGTACGGACAAAAAGCATGTATTGCAGGTTGTGACCGAGGCTTTAATTTCTGACAGCTGTACTGATTCCTGTACAATAGTAGTTGAGTAGTTAACTGTAGTATGATGATGATGAATATTGGTGTTGAGAAGTGTTACATGTACCTGCTGACTTGGCTACATGCTGGTTACTGTCCAGGAGTAGTTCCCATGCCACAGGGAGGATGTCACAGAAAGTGTCCTCCACCAGAACAGTGGCAGCTTTCACCAGAGTAGTTAGTGCACACTGGCTGGGATTCAGTACCTGTAAAAGTTAGCATTATGGTACCAATCATCTGTTTGTTGTATTAGTAACACTGTCACCATAATTATGATTAATAAAGGGTTAATGACCCGCCTTGAGGTGTATACAGTGTCAAAATTCATGGTTGGTTCCTATAACCACCAAATAAATGACCAAGTCAACAAAGCACCACCATGTTTTGTGAGGAAAAATGTATTCAGTACTAAGGACAGGCATGTTCTTTTGAGGTGAATAGTGTTCAGTACTAAGGACAGGCATGTTGTTGTGAGGTAGATAGTGTTCAGTACTAAGGACAGGCATATTTTGTGAGGCAGATAGTGTTTAGTACTAAGGGCAGGCATGTTTTTGTGAGGTAGATAGTGTTCAGTACTAAGGACAGGCATGTTTTTGTGAGGTAGATAGTGTTCAGTACCAAGGACAGGCATGTTTTTGTGAGGAAGATAGTGTCCAGTACTAAGGACAGGCATGTTTTTGTGAGGTAGATAGTGTTCAGTACTAAGGGCAGTATGTTTTGTAAGGATGAGAGTGTTCAATATTACCCACAGGCATGTCTTTACCTTACCTGTGTCTGCAGAAACTTGAGCATTCCACTGTCTGAGTTTGTAGCTAAGGACAGGCATGTTTTTGTGAGGTAGATAGTATTCAATACTAAGGACAGGCATGTTTTTGTGAGGTAGATAGTGTTCAGTACCAAGGACAGGCATGTTTTTGTGAGGTAGATAGTGTTCAGTACTAAGGACAGGCATGTTTTTGTGAGGTAGATAGTATTCGGTACTAAGGACAGGCATGTTTTTGTGAGGTAGATAGTGTTCAGTACTAAGGACGGGCATGTTTTTGTGAGGTAAATAGTGTTCATTACAAAGGACAGGCATGTTATTTTGAGGTAAATAGTGTTCAGTACTAAGGACAGGCATGTTTTTGTGAGGTAGATAGTATTCAGTACTAAGGACAGGCATGTTGTGAGGTAGATAGTGTTCAGTACTAAGGACAGGCATGTTTTTGTGTGGTAGATAGTGTTCAGTACTAAGGACGGGCATGTTTTTGTGAGGTAAATAGTGTTCATTACAAAGGACAGGCATGTTATTTTGAGGTAAATAGTGTTCAGTACTAAGGACAGGCATGTTTTTGTGAGGTAGATAGTGTTCAGTACTAAGGACAGGCATGTTTTTGTGAGGTAGATAGTGTTCAGTACCAAGGACAGGCATGTTTTTGCGAGGTAGATAGTGTTCAGTACTAAGGACAGACATGTTTTGTGAGGTAGATAGTGTTCAGTACTAAGGACAGGCATGTTTTTGTGAGGTAGATAGTGTTCAGTACTAAGGACAGGCATGTTTTGTGAGGTAGATAGTGTTCAGTACTAAGGACAGGCATGTTTTTGTGAGGTAGATAGTGTTCAGTACTAAGGACAGGCATGTTTTTGTGAGGTAGATAGTGTTCAGTACCAAGGACAGGCATGTTTTTGTGAGGTAGATAGTGTTCAGTACTAAGGACAGACATGTTTTTGTGAGGTAGATAGTATTCAGTACTAAGGACAGGCATGTTTTGTGAGGTAGATAGTGTTCAGTACTAAGGACAGGCATGTTTTGTGATGTAAATAGTGTTCAGTACTAAGGACAGGCATGTTTTTGTGAGGTAGATAGTGTTCAGTACTAAGGGCAGTATGTTTTGTAAGGATGAGAGTGTTCAATATTACCCACAGGCATGTCTTTACCTTACCTGTGTCTGCAGAAACTTGAGCATTCCACTGTCTGAGTTTGTAGCTGATTGTGTTAGATCCAGCCAGCGATACCTGTGACCAGCTGTCATCCCTACAGGGACAGCCTGAGCACAGCTGGATCTGCCCACACTGGCCATGGAGCTGGACAGCTGCTGAAAAATCACACACTACATATTAGACAGTACTAAGGAGAAAGTACATTTTGTAACACTAACAGCAGAGAAAACAACGTAAATGACATGTGTGGGATACCCGGAACTCGGAGATCTCAGACCTCCATGAAATATTCCATGTTGTGTAAAATTTAATGTTATTTTTCAATCCTCTTCTTATTTACAAGTCGCCGCTTTTTAGGAGGGGTTAAAATCTGTTTTGGGCAAAAATCTCCTTATATATTGTGCAAATGCAACAATTGACACCTGTGAAAGCAGCATGTTGATCAGATGTAGAAATGATCAATGACTTTCTCATCTGGGACACACTGATCCCAATCACATCCATTATGTATACAACCTGCAGAAACACAGACAGACACACATGGACACACACAAAAACAGACAGACCAACAATATTACCTTAATTTTTTATGGTTGTAAAACACAATTATGGTGAATTTCAATGTTTTAAATACAGATGTATATGCCTGCAGCAGCATTCTAGAGGTACATGTATGCACATGCCAGGTGTTTAAGACTCAAACATTGAGTTTCTTCAGAAGACTGGGGTAACACTGTTTTGTTTAAAATGTAAACTTTAAGCTCTTAGGGTACTTTAAGGAATTATGTTTAGTGGATACTATTGCCCTTGATAGAGCTGGCTGGAAGTACCTGACAGAGGGGAACAAGGGGCCAGTACCTAGCCTGTGCATATAGGCAGGCAGGTGGGATACCGTTGCTCTCAATTAAGTTTATAGGGAGGGAATTATGTGCGTGACAGTACTATACTATACATTGTATGCTTCAAAGCATTATAGCCAGACAGTTGCAAAAAGTGTACACTTTGATTGGGACTATGATGTTTTTATGTTTACCAGAGGAAGACATATTGTTTTGACTCAGTTTCTTCCTCTTCTGTTCCAAACACTAACCTCAGACCTGGCCAATTACATGATTTGTTGACATCTGTCACCATGGTGACTGGTGTTGGGTTACATAATGTTGCAATTTCATGGTCTGCTCTGCTCCTGTCACCATATATACTTGTAGTACATGAATGTGAATGTGTTTGAGTAAGAATTAACAGTCTGAGAGCAGACCATGTCCAAAGGTAAACATTATGCATTTGCTTTGCAAATGTTACTTCTCTAGTCTTACTTCTTGTTCCACATCGTCGTCTCGATAGTGAATGTCCAGCCCTGCTCCGTACACCGTGTGGACAGCCTTGATGAGGCGCAGACAGCTGCGCTGCTGTCGGTGGTAACAGTCAGGGTGACAGAAGCCTTTGTGTTCACAGATGAAGTTGGACGTGTTGGCTACTTGAACAATCACCTGTAACACAAGAGGAGGTGGGTTATAAGGTTTTGGAATGTACTAAAAAGGACTATGTGAGGACCCTTTTAAAGACACCATAAAAGTCCTTAAAACACATACAAATATCGGAAGAGTACAATCATACAATATAGTCACTTGAAGTTTGTTCCTATCATGATGACTGCGAAATTGAGCTTGTACGGCCTTCTAAAAGGGAAGTTTTGGAGATTTTCCAGCAAGTTTCCCAATCGCCCACTTCAGGCATCTCTATTTGCATTTCTGTGTTTTATTTTGATTTGCATTTCTGTGCTTTTTCCTGAGCTGACATCACTGGGTGACATCAGCTCAGGAAAAAATACAGATATGAAATAATAGAATGTTGTAGTAAGAGATGCCCAATGCTTGCCAGGACTGGCTTGAGCTGACTTTTCCAAGGCAGGGCATTAGAATATCGAATGTAACAAGAGAACCTTGCATATTTATTGTAAATGTGTCTGTTAGCCAGGTAACACTAGTTACATTTTGTATGACATAGTCTGCTACAATCAGCTAAGGTCATATTTTGGTGTCATGAGCACTTTAAATGGCTCTATCATTTGTCCAAAGCATCTGTAGTCTGTACTTACATCAATCCAGGGTAAGTTATTGCAGCTGTAGTCCTCCTCGTGGCTTTCCTCTTTGTCCATGTCATACCCCTCACTGCCAGAGTGGTCCTCCTCAGACTCACCAGACATGCTCCTCCGCTGGAAGGGTGGGGCTAAAGGTTTGATGTAAGAGACCATCAGAATATACAATGTACATGTGACATGTAGGCAAAACCAAGACGTTTGGAACGAAAAAATTTGAAGGCAATAAAAAAGGTAAAGTTTTCCTGAAGTTATCACTGGTCACAGTATTAAGGCCAGGGCAAAACCTTGTAAATATCAATAGTTTTCACTCCTAAGGACAGGCATGTTTTGTGAGGTAAATAGAGTTCAGTACTACGGACATGCAGGTTTTGTGAGGTAGATAGTGTTCAGTACTAAGGACAGGCATGTTTTTGTGAGGTAGATAGTGTTCAGTAGTAAGGACAGACATGTTTTTGTGAGGTAGATAGTGTTCAGTATCAAGGTCAGGCATGTTTTTGTGAGGTAGATAGAAGTGTTCAGTACTAAGGATAGGCATGTTTTTGTGAGGTAGATAGAAGTGTTCAGTACTAACCTGTGACTGCCAGCTCACCAGTTCTCTTGGCATGGATCCCTCCCCTCCTCCGCATGCTGGTGTTGTGATACGTACGGCGGAGAAGTGAGCGGCGAGCACTGGGAGTCTGGGATTTACGACCTTGAGAATAAACAGGAGAAGATCACTTTGGCTCATTCTGAGCTCATCTTACGTCAAGCTAGGAAATGGGCACTGTCAGCTATCAAACACATTCTCCTGGCTGCTTTCATTTGCTGGATCAGGGTCAGAAATCCTTTTTTCTCAGCCAAACCTAAGCTATGGCAAACTAGGTTGCCCATCAATCCTCTAGGATGCCATCAACACCGGCTGTTTATTTTAGAAAGCAAGCCATAAGCCAGGCCACATGTACATGAAAAGGAATTGCCGACATGTTGACGTGACATCCACCTGTTTATTAGTCATTTGTACATCATGTATGGACATTTTTCTTCTGTCTTCCAGTGACCCCCACTGTTTCTTTTCCTTTCCCTGACACTAGCAGCCCTTTCATACTTGTTCATTCAGAATCATGCAGCTTGATTCTGGACCCTTTCCAGTTTGTGTTTGCCTTTCTTTGTATATGGATCCCATACTGTCTTGGAATATTCTAGGTTACATTAGTCTTACAAGTGACATGTATGCAAGTGATTTTACTCTATCATGAAAGTTCATCTGTGTTGGTAGTTAGATGTTTAAAGTTAAAACATTTGGTCCAACACAAAAAATTCTCTCACCTAGAGCTTTCGACATCACACTTCAAAGAAGCCACGTGACAAGCTTCACTGGGTCAGTCTACTGAGGAAGACCAGAGTGACTGGTGGAAAGCTC